GTAGGTACTCGTTTCAGCCGCTTCCTTCCCAGTTTAGTTTTCTTTTCAGGTGGAGGTATTACTCTCTCTAAAATTTCCAGAGGAAGATTCCAAAATTCTTCAGCTGGCACTGGATAGATTGGATCTGCATATGCAAGTATATATGACTCTACCTTATAATACGGAGAAGAGTACTCATAAATCATCTTGCCATATTCATATCCAAATTTGTGTCTGAGCGCAGCCATAGCATGTTGACAGGGTATCTTATCCAAGTCAAACTCTCGACACGAACATATTTTACTTCGAAGATGGACCATTGCGATTCCATTGTCCGCGGTGACGCTGAAGGTGTCTTCATCAATTTGATGGACCAATAATTTATTTCCCAGATTCTTATTAGCCATTATTTTAGTTTCAGCTGAAGGAACGAAGGTGGTTTTTAACTTGGCGTATGCCATTCTTCTCTCATGAAATTTTTTCCGACCATCTCTTGCTTATATCATTGAACAAGGCAATAATGGGATATTCTCTTGCTTCATTGAACATTGCATTAACAAACTTAGCAATATTTGAGGTCAATACATCATATCAGAAATATAAAAATTCAAAAATATCAAAAATTAAAATACAAACTATTGCAGATTTTTAATAACTATTGTAGTTTTGAAAAGAACTGTTTCTAATGTCGCACAACTTCTGCAGCTGTTGAAACAACTATGAAAGTTGTCCAACAACTATAATAATTGTTCCAACGATTATAATAATTGTCCCAACAACTACAATAATTGTTCGAACAACTATACTAATTATTTCAACAACTACAACAATTGTTAGAGACCTGCAATATTTATGTTTGAACTAGTAAGAAAGTTTACCTGTTTCCTGGAAAATATGCTCTACTCCATTTGTGAAACCCAACATTCTCAAGATAATCAGCGACCTCCGCATTGATAATTCGAATTTGTTCAAAATGGTCATGGAACACATCTCTCCGATATGCTTTTGTTGCATGGTAATAATGTCCAAGAAAAGTTCCACAATGAAAATTTTTACGGGCATTTTCACCAAGATGCCTCGTGCAACATCCATGGTATGCTTCAGAGTAAAATTTTGATAGTGTTTTTTCTATGCTTGGATGCCTATCAGAAATAATGCACAACTCTGAAGTATCAGGGACTATGTCCAACAATTTCTCAAAAAAGTACTCATATGCGGCATCACATTCGTTATCTACTACACAAAATGCAACAGGAAAAACATGATTTTCTGTATCCTGTGCGACAGCAGACAACAAAACTCCATCGTAACGACCTCTTAAGAATGTTCCATCAACGGCTAAAACTTTTCTCATATGCACAAACCCCCTAATCCAAGCTCCATAAGATGCAAAAAAATATTTGAACTTTCCCTTGTCATTAAGCTTTAACGATGTCTTGCTTCCTTCATTTATAGTCATAAGCATATGACGATAACCATCTAGAACTGCATATCCGTGCTCCGGTGTCCCTCTTATCATAGCATTTGCTATCTCACTGCTTTTCCAACACTTCCAGTAACTAATCTTGCAGCCCAAATCTGCTTGCACTATATTTTTTATGTCTTTTGTGGAGGGACCTTTTCCATTCAAGTAATTAGGTTGTATGTATTCTGCAATGACATCTGCTGAGGCATGTGAATGATGACTTGTAAGGTGTTGTGCCCCACATGAGTGAATGTTGCGATACTTTGTAATTTCAAATCTATTACAACTTTTAAGTTTTGTAGCTCGCAACCACCAATCACAATTCTGATCTACACATCTAGCACAATACACATCTTTAGAACTCTTCACAGCTTTGAATGTTTGATCTTTCTTCACGGAAGCAAGCTTCAACAATTTAGTTAATTCTTGCTTGTCCTTGAAAATTTTACCCTTATAAAAATCTGTGCCGTCATCATCTGTGTAGCGGCTACCTTGTGTTGATATCGAATGTAGTGAAGCTTCCTCATTTATAGGAATATCCATTGTAACAGAATGCTCTTCATCATTTACAACTGAATTTGTAGTCTCTATAATCTTCTCAACCACAGATATCCTTAAAATTGGCCTACTTTGATCATCCAAAAAAAATCGCAAATCAAGATCGTTTCTTATCCTAGAAGGAGCTCCTTTTTGCTTTTCAATAAAGCCAAGCATGTAACTAATAGAGAGATCATTTTTATCACAATCTAATTCAAACCTAGAAACAATGATGTCAACCAATTCATCGTACGTAACATTCTCGCTTATCTTTATCGGTACTGTCTCTCGGCCCTTCGAACGCCAAGTATAACGAGTAGGATTCTCCACCCATTCACCATGTAAATCAACTCCTATTATTATATGGTCTTCCATAGAGGGAAACAATACCTGGAGACATCACAGGTAAGACATTCATCAAAGAACTGCAAAATTGCAAAAGAACATTGATTGCTTGTTTTACATCTATTTAGTTACCTCACAACTATCAACAATTGGCATAAAAGTTTAGTAGCTTTGGAGACTGCTATAATTCTTCAATTATTTATTTCAACAATTAATACTTTGTCCACAATTATATTACTTGTCCTAAAAACTAATCCGTTGACCAACAACTGAACACAACTGTCAAACAACTGCAGTAGTTGTTGGGACAACTTCTATAATCGTCCGATAACTACAGACAGTTGTTGGACAACTTCTATAATCGTCCGATAGCTACAGACTGTTGTTAGACAATTTCTATATCTGACAGAGATGTTTATTTATTTCTACAAACAACTTCAGCAGTTGTCCAGACAACTACGAAAGTTGTTGGCTGAAATAATCAAATTAGATTTAATAAACCTAGCTGAAGAATGGACACAAAGTAATTTTTATACTTATCAATAATTCTCTTTTGAGTTAATTTCAAGATAAAACGGAACCAATGCAATGCAAAAAGTTCAAAAAATTTTGGTATCCATTTTCACAAAATTTTCTTGATAGATCTTCTCATAAACCACATATATGCTTACAAATTAAGAATGATGAAGATGAAGAAAAAGAAGAAGAAGGGAATTGAGAAGCATACTTCAGCCTCGTTGAAGATTTGGTAGTTGTCCTTCAAGCTCGTGTTGAAGACGCTGCAGGTGAGAAAAATTTCTTCTCATATATTTTAGTGAAATTTTAGGTATTTTGAGGTAAAAAATATAGGGTAAAAGTGTAAAAGTTAAAAGTTTGGGGCTGTTGAGGAAAGATTTTTTAATTTCATTAATGTTAATTATATATTTGTCACTTCTACCTAATATTTAAAAGTTGGAGGACTCCTACCTAATTAACAAACTACTTTGTCACTTTTAATACACTATCCCTATACCATCTTATTATAATAGTCCTTAATGTATACATAAAAAGTATTATTTTGGTCCTAACTGAAAACATAAAAAAATCTGTCAAGTTTAACTGTGGGTCCCACACTCTTCTTCCTCCCTCTTTCTTCCCCCATTGCTTCTCCTTCATGTAGCTAAATTGCTCCCTGGGTTAAAAACACTCCTCCATACATTCCCTTTTCGTACCGTCGGCGATATATTTGTCGGCGTCACCGGCATACCTGACGTCGGAGGACTTGCCGGCATCGACAGAGACCTCTGGTACTTGCTAGATCCTTGTCCTGATTCTCCACCTATATACGAGATCAATTCCAATGCAGAAATTTAAGTTATAATACTGGATCTTCATCAATTATCTTTACATCTATACAACTTTAATTTTACTTCATCAATTTTCCCCTAAATTTCATGCATACAACAAAAATGGATTTTACATATGTATATTAATTTTGTGAGAATTAAGAGTACCGGTTTGAACAGTGAGGCTCTTAACAGTTTTTTTTATATGTTCTTCCCCATTGCTTCTCCTTCATATTCTTTTTTTGAACATGAAGGAGAAGCAATGGGGAAGAAAGAGGGAGAAAGAAGAGTGTGGGATCCACAGTTAAACTTAATAGAATTTTTTATGTTTTTCGTTAGTTGTTAGGATTAGGACCAAAATGATACTTTTTATGTATACATTAAGGACTATTTTGATAGAATGGTATAGATAAAGGATCAAAATAATTCAAACCCTATATATGAAGGATTATTTTGATTATTTTCTCAAATTCGAAGGGTTTAAGAGTTTTTCTTATTTATTTACTCAAACGGCTATGGGTAAATGAACCGCCAAAATGAGATGCTTTAGTTTTTTTTTTTTTTTTTTGGGTAATTCGAGAAATATACGTATATATATTATATATCTATCAGCTATTTTTAAAAGTAAATGCTAAGTTAATTTGAGAATTCGTGTATAATAACAAGTGAGGAAGTTTTGGATAAATTCTCTATCCCCTTTCTTATTTTTTAATCAATGTACAGTATATTTATCCTCGAGATCGTGTGAATTAAGTAAAATCTTCTTTGACTAGTAAGACCTTGATCCTGATGTGTTTTGGATAACATTTCTAATAGATACCTCAATTTGTATGGAAAATGTATCGCTCATAATTACTTTTAAATATCATGTATTTCAAATAAAATTCATTTACCAACATGACAAATATTGGAGCACGAGAGAATAATATCAATGCTTCTCTTTAGTTTGAGTTTTTTCTTTATTTGGGCTTAAGATAGATAAATGTGAGAAAATTCATAAATTAATAGATATTTGTGTGTTGTTTGTTGTCTGTCATATTATTAGTCATAGTATTGCTTCTATAATTTCTTGTTCTTTGATTTTTATTACTATACATTATTTCTTGTACCTCGATTATTCTATTGGTTTGGTGTACTTTTCATTCTGTTACTATCAGTTATTTTTGTTATCATCCGACCTTTTGTATTTCCGTTACTTTTTATTCGAACTGCTTTGATTTGTTTTTTCTTAAGCCATCGAGGTCTATCAAATTTATAAATCATTAGTGCTATTTTGTAACATCCAACTAATAGTAATTAAGACAAACAAATTGAAACAACCAGAAAGTCCAAATAATATTCAAATAGAGTAGCATAAATTCACTCATGTTATTAAATAATTATCTACATATAGATATGAACAATAATCAAGAGTACTAGTCTTAGTAAACTCCAGTCTGATAGTCTGCTTCACAAAATTCTCCCCCAAGATCATCACAAGCTTCTGATAAGAATACACTGCATGAAAGAAAAAAAAATCAACATTACAACACTTCACATATATAGTCAAATCAATTTTTTGACATTTTTTTAATGTCAAATCAAATGATATTACATAAATTAGAACATAGAACAGAAAGAGTACGTACGTTTTAGGTTCATTATAGGCAAGATATTCTCTGTCTACACTCTCCGTAGATGGAGTATTGCTTGAGGCTGAGGGTGTAGATTTTGGTTTGGTTTCAGGATACATTTCAACATCACAAGCTTCTCCTCCTATTGTCTCACAAGCTTCAGCAGGAAACACTGATCTGAATATATATCAAACATATTATAAGACAACTCTAAAGTACAGAACTCTTTAACGACTACATTATAGATGCTATTATGTTGTTCATATAAAACAAGTTTTGAATTAAAACATAATTATGATAGAATTCGAGTCTTACGAGTTCATGGAGCTATAGTCAACAGTGGAAGTGTCAACTGGAGTTGCTTTAATGTGAGTAATTTTGAGATGAGTTGAAACACATCTCAAAGGTGATGTTGCTAAGGGCTTGGGAGGTTTTACTAGGGGAATAGATGATGTTGTAAAAAACAAAGCTGCCTGCATTTTGAGATGTGATTAATTCAATTTGATTATGTATGTACTAGGAAGGTTGATGTTTTTGATGGAGTAGTGGGACTTCTAATATATAGGGATTTTATATTGTGGTGAGCTTATTAAGTGGATAAGGTGTGGAGAGATATTTTGTAACTAGATAAGGTTTAATGGTTGATTTTGTTTGTTTATAGGGAGAATGAGAAAGGTTGGGAGTTATTTGAAATGTCATAAAAAATCTTGTTTGTTTTAAGCTGGCGTTTGATCATAGATTTTGAAAATTTTATCGAAGTAAGATTATACCTTTTTCTGATGCCACTTGTGGGATTATAATGAGTATGTTATTGTTATTGTATCTTCAAATATATGTTTGACCATGAAATTTAATTAGATTTTGAAAAGTTAATATCAAATATTATTTTTCAAGCCAATTTTTGAAACTTCAACTCATAAAACTTCATTTTTCAGTCCAAATATAATGCACGTTCAAATATAACTTTAAATTCCAAAAATTAAAATTGTCAAGTTTCAACTTCGAAATCTAAGAATCGAGACAATTGACCCAACATAGACGATAATTGTTGATAATTTGTCTTTCCTAAGATATTTGACGCAAGAAACAAATTAGTTACGATCCTTGGTCTCTTTCAATTGTTACTTCATGTGTTCTAATTTTCTTCTTAATTTGTAATTAAGAAAATGACATATTTTTACTTCATAAAACTTTTTATCTTACCATCTTCATCCTCACTAACATTCAATTAAAATAGACATGTGCAACTCTAATTAACCTCATTTTAAAAAGACGAACATAGAACATGTAGACGCCACATAGGAAAATAAAGGCGAGACATAAGATATTCACAGAGTAGGAGTAATATAATCGGAAAATTGAATGACAAGAACAAATATATCAAAACAGCATAACGAGCATTGGGGCAAATCCAACTCGTTTCCATAAATATGTGTTCGCCGTTGGCCATCTAGTATAGTATACAAATTTTGCTTGAATAAATGATAAATTAAAGAAAATAAATAAACATCTTTGTATACATAATTGATGTCATTGCTAAAATGAGACTTACAGTATACACAGAAGTAGCTTAGCAGAAATCAAAGGTGTCTGTCTGGAGGCAAAACTGCAATCCAGTTCAAGCTTCTCCAACAACGTAAAAGATAAATATGTAGTATGAATTCTCAAATGCAGCACTTTGAAAACGACGTGCTGCTCAGCAGATACTATATTCTATCGTCTGTTAAAACTTTAGTCCAGATTGTATGAAGTAACGAAGAATCTAGTATATCAACCTTATGTACATTTTATAAAGTTTCATCACTTGGATATTAGGAGAGCTAACCGTAGTTTACCAAGTCGATAGAGTCTGAATGGATTTTTGTATACTGTCACAACTCCTGTATTATTGGACGACAAGAAAACATGGGCAATGCTAAAAGATTCACCTTTCTCAACTGCAAACTGCCATTCCCTTGAGGTAATATGGAACCAATCCTTTGTTGATGATCTAGTTGTCTTTATTTCTATGTATTCATCATCTCCCACAACAAGGTCATAAGGAAGCCCTGTTTCATTGGTTTCATTGACCCATTTCACAAAAGGCTCACCGAATTTCTCCAAGAAATATTTGAAAGCAAAATATTCTCCAAGTCTGCCAGTTTCAATCATAACGTCACTTTTGCCATTTGTGGCTGTAAGCAGTTGATCTCTTTCTGTCACATCAGAAGAGCTATTACTCAGGTCACGTGGTGCAGTCATGGCATGAGGAGAATCAAATGCCTCCATCATGGTGCCAGGTACATGATCAACATCTTGTGAACCTAGTACAACAGCAGCTGATTCTGGATAGTTGTCCATATTCTCAACACACGTCATCTCAGTTGCAGCCGGCGCCCATGTTTTCATTACACTTTCTTCCATAGTATTCTTTTCCGATTGGATGCCACTGACTGCCTTTCCTTTCGAGATGCACACACTAGATCGATGAAAACCAGGAGCAGTTTTCCAGTCAGTAGGTGGCCAGCTTGAGCTGATTCCCGGTCTCTTCTTGATTTTCTCAGGGTTTTTCTCATCAATTGTTCTGGAAGAACTCATCACCCCTGTCTCACTATCTGTTGACAATGGAACATTTGCGAGAGACCAAACAGATTCACCTTCAGGAAGCTTGGGCATTTTCTGGCTATTCAAAATGAAAAATTCAGTTTGCTCCTCATTGGAACCTGATTCCGCCATAGTTGTGATCATATGAAGAAAGTTCGCCAAATGCAAGTCAGGAGTTCCAGAAGATAACAAACGAGAAATCTCCATGAATATTGAGTGAGAATCTGATTCTTGAGTGGCATACAAGATGTTTCCCTGTACAGAATGAAAAAATAAATTATCTATACATTGTTTTACGTTTTAACAAGGAATAAGATTACACAAATAAACATTTGGGCAGTTAGAAGTAGACATATCCGAAAATTAAGTGTTATACACATTAATAATGTTAGATCTCCATGAACCAGACTGGGAAAAGAGAAGAAAAATGAAGAGATCTACCAGGCATGTTTTATAAATTTATGATTCAGACAAAAAATCTGGAATTGAAAGGAAGAACAAGCAAAATAACATAAAGGAGTCATAACTCAACAATTGTATAATGCTATATAGAAGTGTTAGTCTTGGTCTACATAGGAAGAGGTCTTACATTTAATACATTTCAACCAATCCATTAGATTAGATATCCTTTTTTCATAAACAGTTGAAGAAGATTCAAATAACATACAGCTTTTCCAGAAACATCTCATGTATGTAGCTATGTAATATAATAATGGATATAAAAACCCATAGATGATGTCGTGATTAGAATACCTCTAGCAGACAACTGCATTCAAACTGTTTCTTCGATGCTATGTGGGAACTTCTTATAACATTCCTGTAGAACAACTTTTCAACAACGACAATCTGTAGACATCTCAGGTTCTGAAATCCAGACTGGCTGAGCTGCAAATACTTTTCTGGATGAACGTTATATATATAACGTTGAGCATATGGTAGAACCCAGTTAATCATTGAAGCTACCAAGCTAGAGTCTGTTGGACCATCATATATTGCTTCACGCATTACAACCTGCAAAAATCAAACATTAAATGTCTTAAATTGATCTGAGAGTCATGTTGCTCTAAGGTGAAGTCAAGTTTTTTTTTTTTGGACAGGCAGGTAATGAATATTGATGGAAAGAAAAGAAAAGAAAGAACTAGAAGCATAGTCAGACCCATCCTATATCCTATACAAACAAAAAATGTCTTGATAAATTTTTTTTTGAGAGAATGTTAACTTTTCAAAAAAATCAACTTTCTTTGGTAGGATATTAAGAAAGTAAAGAATTGTTTAAAAGTGGACATCATCTGGAATAATACAAAATAGAATTATTATAGTCAATGTGGGACAAAGGAAGCTCAAAAGAGTATAGTAGCATACTCAATGTGGGATAAAGGATAATTCAGATTCCATATAAGCAAAGACAACTGTGTTGATTATTTTGATGGATCTTAGGTTGACTACAGAAGACTGATACTTAGATACTCTGTAAGTCCTAAATTAGTTTTGCTTTAATTATTCCATCGTGTGCTAGATTACTTCTGAGATATCACACCGACTTCAATAAAATCATCTCCTCTAGAAAGAAAAGGAAGAAGTATGATTAATCTGTTAGTTCTGAGAGGATTTTACTGAAACTAGTTTGTTTAATTTATCAACCATATGCTAAGTAACTTCTGAAATCACATCAAATTTCAGTAGACCCCTCCACAAATATACAAACAATGCACTCCATCGGTGGAATGATGTCACATATATTGGAATGACCCAACATAGAAAAACCATCACATTAAGTAGGCGTTTGGCCATGCGATACCATATCATGATATGGTGTCGTGAGATGAAATCAGCGTTTGGACATGCGATTTTACGCTGATTCCATCTCATGATTCCATATCATGAGAGGTGATACCATATTCTCCAAAAACCATGATATGGAATCACCATGTGATTCCATATCATGATTTGAGATATTTTAATACAATAATTGATTCATGAGTTTATATTTTGTTAAAATAACCCCACATTTATATCTACTAACCATTTGTTTCATATGTAAATAAAATTTATAATCACATCATTGCTTTTTAAAATTTATTATTCTCACCAATATAAAATTTATTATCACTTTAAATTTGGTGAAAATAAATGATAAAGTAGAAATTCATTTGGTGAATATAAATGAGAACGAAGGGAGTAATACTTTTTTGATTTTTCATAATAAAAAAAAAACATCTTAATCTTATGACTAAGCATAATATTGATAAAAGACAATTTTCATTGGCGGTGCCGCACTTTCTTAATCTTAGTATTTGCAAAATGTTCGTTCACATGACTGAAGGATATCAAGTCCAATTAATTGAGGACTTGGGAAAATTTGATCAATTAGTTATTAATATTTAGTCAGGTGGACTAGTTATAATTTTTTTGATTAAATTTTATTAGAAGTGTTTTTGACTCAAACTTGTGGTAACTTTTTAAAATTTCGTTATTCAATAATATTTACTATTGATTTTTCTTGTAAATAGTTAGAAGTTAGTGATGTTTGTTAATTTTTATCTCAGTGCATTTAACTTCTAAGTTAATATTTACTCACTAATGTATGTTTTTTTTCTACTTTATAGGTTATTTGTAAGAGTAGTTGAGAGATATGAGCATATCAAGCACAATTTATGTTCAATTTTTTTAATTAAATTAAAGTTAGATGAAACAATTATTTAACTGAAGAACAAATAACTTTGTAATAATTTATTATGCGATTTCATAATTTTTGTTTATTTGATAAGATTGAATAAACAATTGGGCTATTTTAATAGTTTTACAACTTATGAATTTTTATCTTTATGAGAAAATATACAACACAAAAATTTCATATCGCATGTCCAAACAAACCTTCAATTTCATCTCATGATTTCATATCATGATACCATATCATGATTCCATATCATGATACCATATCGCATGG